CTGGCTGTGTAATTGGTGAATATTTCTCTTTTGTACATCATCCGCTAGTGGGATCACTGGAAGAGAAGTGCAGGAAGAGGATACCTGTTCGTAGTAGATAGCAAACGTACTCTTCTGTCTGAAGATTGACTGGAACAGCCAAAAGAGGTTTAAGCAATGCAAGAGCAGAGGACTAAGAAGGCATGTAGAAAACACAATCAGTAAGATAAAGAAACTGAAGAAGTAGCAATTCAGTGACTTTATTATGAACGCTAATTGGAATAACAAGCAAAGAGAATGGAAAACTCCCATTTGTTGAAAGACACGTAATATAGTTGTGGTATTACCTAAATTTACGGTTTGCATAACTGGAATACGCTCTGGTTATCACCTGCCTAATGTGCAGAGTGAATACAAGTTCACACATATTATGTGACGATAAAGACATAATACCTAGTTTTACAGTAATTCATTCTAATGGTAGGATTGTAAATGCCTGTGGAACTAGTAAAATCCACAGAGATGAAAAGAATAGAGATGAAGAAATCTTACAGACCCATCCGTACATGAATATTTTTTACCGTATCTGAATCGCTCTTTATTTAGAAAAAATACTTAGAAATATTGAAGTTCCTTCTGGTCACTCCAAATAGAAATGGAATAGTGGCAAAAAGATCAGCAGGTTGGCGGGCTTGTTTTATGAGTAATACTCATAAAACTCATGAGTAATTTGCATGGTGAGAAAATTGCCATTTTTCACATAGCAGAATAGGAAACATCATGTGGCAGCGCTACCTTTCATCTTTATTAAACAATGCCTCTTTGGAAGTATTTCAGCAAATACTAGAAGAAATGAAATGAAATGGCCACTCTTTGGTGTGTTTAGAGGATAATTTTCCCCAGTAAAAGCGTATACTATAATTACCAGCGCTCGGACTCAGGCCGCGGTCAGGTTCCAGGGGCGTAAGCCTGCAAATTGCATACTGGAAAGGGAGCTTGTTTCTGGCTGTGCCAGGCATCTCTGGCGCCTGTGACTTCAACCTTACGTCCCCGGCAGATTCAGGGTGCCGAGTGGGGAGCCGGGAACACCCGGGTGCTGTGGGGCGGCAAGGTCCCCGTAGGTGACACTGGGGCTCAGCAGCCCTGCTCTTTTTGGCAGCCCGAGCCCAGCCCGGCTGCAAATCCCCTCTTCCTTGCAGTAGCTGGGGCACTCCGGGCAGGCGGGATCTACCCTATAGCGGGATAGGAGGATCGCTGTCGAACCAGTGTAAGAGTGGTTAAATCAAATGGTGGTTGTTTTTTTTTTTAATAAGTATCCAGATATTTTTGTACAGACCTGAAGGTAACCGATATTTATATGAATATGCATGATTTCCAAATATGCTAGCTTTTGTTTTTAGTCTTAGGGGGCTTTTAAAATTGTCTCCTGACTTCTTGAAGAATTAAACAGCAAGCTAAAAATATTATTAATAATGATTAGTGCATTGGCTATTTATTATACGAACCATTGTTAGGAATTCCATTTTAGTTAATATGTATAAGAAACTTCCTTAGATTTGCCTTTTGTAATTCCATCTCAGTGAATAGCCCATTATTTAAAAATCCTATTAAAGAAAGGCTTTGTGTGAAAAACTTGGTTGTATCGTCTTGATCAAGAGCGTATTGATCCTTCCCCAGAAGTTTTCATATTACATTTCGGATTGCCTCATTTTAAAAAGAAAAAAATTATCTGAAACTCAGCATTATCCATAGTTTTTGCACTAGTAATATTTGACAGCTATGGAATTACTACCCAAACAGCAGAAGACTTGTATTTCAATTAAAACCTCTAAAGCAGAAGCCACATTTTAGCTACTGCTGATGTATTCTTATCAGTTACTAGAGCTTTCTGCTAACTCTTAATCAGTTTGCGCTTTCTGCACTTTCCTATTTATGGGAGCTATTCACAGGATAAAGAAGGGAGGATGATACATAAAAAGAATTTTGCATCTCTAATCTCTATTGTAGAAAATCCTTGCATACAAGATAATTCCCTTTATTAATAAGTACATAGTTTGACTTCAGCCCACAGGCAGGAGAGAAGGTTCGCTTTTTTGGTTGCTGTCTTTAGCTCTACTGCTAGGTTTCCATTAAAGTTAGAAACACAACAAATGCAGCCAACACAGCACTGGTCTTAGAGTCTGCATAGTGCAAGACATCAAAAAGTGAAGGGAAGGCAACAATTTCATTTCTCCACTATCCTCAGCCTCTGAGGTGGCGATTAGGCTGCGTTATTCTAAGCGACACAAGCCAGCAGGACCCAAAGCGGCTGCCTGTGCCCATCCTATTTAATTCTAGCTCTGGAAGGAAAGCCAGGATATTTTGACTCAAGCATAAAGTAAAATGCGGATTGTGTATTTGTGTGGCCAAAATGAAAAACTGCAAACTGTCATTCTGTTCAGCATTTAGATATTCCAGCTGACACAAATCCAATTGTTTTATTTCATCCACTCGTAAATAAAGCATGGGGCAGATGTGCTAGACTTACAGATTGCTGAGGAAGGAGCTGGTGGCTGTCAACTGTTCTTCTTTTGCCCTCCGATACTGGAGAGAGGAGAAGCCCAAACTGAGTTGCATCCTCTGCCTGAGGCGTTTTGAACTCACGACTTCCCTGGTGCCCTAAGGGTACGTTACGTTTGCAGAGCGAGCGGTGTGGCTGCAGCCTGCTTATGGCTGCGCCTCTAGCTTCTGTGATGTCCCGCAGCGAGAGAGGAGAGCGTGTGTGCTGCAGTAGCTTTTGTGTTTTGGAAAAGTCGTACGTACCACATTGAGGAGGACAGAGCCTGTTCCTTTCTCATCTACCTTACCTATGCCTGAGGGATGGACTGAGCTCCTTCTCTGCAGCCTCCACAGGTGCATGTCCTCTCTGGTTTATCTGACGGCCAAGGGTTCAGTGCCAAGGGCAGTCCCTTGTTTGGGAGCATCACGCTTACAACCTCCCCTTGCCCAGCGCTCCCGGCAAGGCTCCTGCAGGCTCCCTGTGCCAACGCGGCTGGCCAGGTCTGGCCTTGTGCCAGCTCTCCCCGGCTGCCACCCAGCCACAAAAAGTCCAACGTCACTGAACAAAAGCCTTAGCCAAGTCCTGTCCTACCTGTCCCTCTTGCTCAGGTCCCTCCCCAGCAGCTGATTTTTCCCAAGCCAGAGCGGGATGAAGTGTTCTGACTCTGTTGATGAGAAGGATGAAGTTTTCCAACTCTCTTCATCTTCCCCTCCTTACCGCCCTTCCCACCCGTGGAAGGCAAGCTCTGTTGCTGTTCATTGCAGCGGTGAAGGCCAGCTGAGCCTCGGTTCATCTGCTCTCTGTTGGCATGTGTTTAGACATTCCTAAAAATAGTCTAGAATTCGGTTCTCAGAGAAAAATAAGTTTGCAATTATATTAAGACTTTTAATAGAAGATTGCGGGAGGATACAGCTAGCAATTTGCCATTCAGCCTGTGCTCTGTGTTGGTGGGAGGAGTGGTAAAGCGTCACTCGAAATGGGAGCTGGCCTTGTGGAAGAAAGCCTCTCAGCTGCAAGCTGTCAGCTTGTCATTTGTCCATTACGTACTGCACAGGTTTGACATGGTGCGTGAAGATTTTGTTATGTGGCAATGAGCTTTCAGCCTGCCTGATTTACAGTTGCGATAAGCGCAGTGGTTTATATCCCTGCAGTGCTAGGACCTTTTTATTTTTCTTTGTGCTTTTCAGTTTACTCGTTGCCTTATTAAACAACATGGGTAAAAAAATTCACAGAGGTAAATTTAAAATCATTGCTTTTGCTGATGCATACTCATTGATGTTTTGTTTTTTCATTTAGGGAACACATTTTGTAAATTAAGTATTTATTTGTAAACAGTAAGCATGTACTTCTAATTATTGATGCAGATGATTGTTTTTTTTTTTTTTTATCCCACTGTATTGTCCCAGGACATGTTTGTCGCTAGGAAACATGATAAATATCAGAAATAATTAAATATTAGAGTTAGGAAAAGCAAGCTGTTCCAATTTCCTTCAGCTGGAAGTTTTCAGACCTCTTTTGACTAGGGACATATGTTCTTTTAGGCATTCAGAGTTAAAATGCTCTTAAATATTTTTAAGAGATTTGATATAAAGGGTGAATTCATTTTTTTAATATTAACTTTAAAGGCAAGTTTCATCTGACCCAAATTTGGCATTGCTTGTTTGGTTTACAAAGGAAATACAAAGCCATTTTATTTTTCATTGCCGTTGTCATCTGCTAAGAATCCCAAACGAATACTCAGCCTCTCCATCAGCCTAACGCGCGATTCTCTGCTCTGAAAAAATTAGCAGAACGCATTGTGACTCGAGCTGAGCTGATTTTCAAATATTTGCAAGGGGATTATCTGAATTACAGATGAAGCAGGTTTGCCTTCCTCTTTCACTCCTGCTTAGATCGCTGCGTCGCCTAGTGCTTAGTGCAAGGTCCGTGCTGTCTTCACCAGGTCCTGCTTTGTTCACTCATGTCTAAAATTGTGTCTGTTCTCTACAGAAGACTCCAGAAGGTTTATCAAAAAATGAATTAATGTTCCGATGACCTAATTTACATAGATTTTATATTGCATTTTTTGTTTTCTTACATCTGCTTTACTGCACCATCAGGGTAACTAAGAACCCACTGTGTAAATTCCTTAAACCAGTTTCAGTGTAGTGACCATATTGCTGCTTTTCACAAAATATATTTAATTCTCCCATTGTCATATTTCTCTTTCAAACAACAGTCTCATGTCTGTGGCTGTTGGACTGCTGATACGTGATCAGTTCCTTAGATGATTGCTATTATTGTTCTGTCTAAATGAATATTTATGCTTATATTTTGGAAATTTTAGTATTAAAAGGATAGAAGGAACACAGGAAAAGCTATAATTATGAGAAATCAAAGATAATCTACTTTTAGGGCCTTTTTTTTATTCCTTTCTGATAGATAGGAGGCAATTTATTGTCTTCTGGTGCTCCTTCTCGAACTCTTCCTCTCTGTCTTCCAGGCTCTGACAGAGATGGCAGCCACAGCTTCTAGGAGATTCCTCGTGTCTTTCCAGTTTTATTTATTGTATTGCTTCTTCCTCTTACCCTGTTCGTTCCATGGAAAGGAAGGAGGGACCTGGAAGACACGGGGGACACACTGACACCTCTCAGAGTATCTGCAGAAGCATCGAAACAACAATTTCCAATGACTCTAAGAGAAGACATCACCTTCTAATGCAAGGTAATGGCAGCAAACCTGGGTCTGTGTTAGGCCTTGGAATTACGTGAGGAGTTAGTTGGTTTGAACACCAAAAATAGAAAGTTTAGAGACTATAGGATACAGTTTAAAGAACAGCAGCGGGTAAGACTGGACAGATAAACTCAGGAAACCTGGGCATTAACTGTAACCGTAGACATTTGAAGGTTGGTGTGCAAGTATTCAGCATTAAGTGCTTTCTTCTAACAATTTTGACTTGCTCAGCAAAAAGCAAATCATTTCTCAGTGCATGGATACAGAAACAAATATCTACAACAGGACGGGTAGAAAGTCCATCCTACTTTTAAAAAATCTTGTTTATCAGTAGTTTTGGCCTTCTGTCCTGTGCAGAGGAGGAAATGCTTGAAGATGTATATCAAATGTGCAGAGTACCGTCTGTGACTTACTTTGAAGAGCTGCATGCTCTCTTAGTTTGAAGTCTGGTTTGGAAAACAACTTTGATTCAGTGGGCATAGAGTAGGTTTAAGAGTTCAAACATAATTCAACTGCAGATAGCCCAGAGCACATCCCACCACTATGATTGCAATCAGGATTTTGCAACAGGCTTTCTTATATATCTGCCTATCAATCAGAGTTATTTAGATAGATAGATCCATAGTTTTTATTTTGTTTTTCGACTTCAAAGCAGTCTGTCCCTTTGGTGAAGAGCACACAGAATTGCTGGCACAATAGTTTGTGGTATTTTACTGGCAAGGTAAACACTATATCTGAGGCCTATGCGTAAGATGCAAAGCACTGGATTGCACATTTTGCTAGTAACCTTTTCCTGAGTAAAATTAGCAGAAGAGCTTAATGGGGATGTATTTGACTGCTGACCTTTTTTTATTGTCCAGAGTATCTTTTTTGTTAAGCAAATCGTTCAAAGCCAGACAAGTGTGGATGCTTGTTTTGAGGCAGGCATGGTCAGCCAGGTTCAGTCACCAGCAAAGGTTTCAGGATTGCAAATGTTGATACTGAATTTAAAAAAAAATCCAGTTCATTGAACTGGACGTTTGTTGCAAGTCAAGCCTTTGAGCGTATCGATGGACATTATGAAAGGTCTGCTGCTGAGGTGATTTATGGCTTTGAAGTTTTCCTGTAATAATGAAAGGGATCTGGAACTGGGAGAGGCAGTTGCCTGTATAATCATCCCCTTTTCCTGCTGCGGTTCCCCACATGCTACTAGTTCTTTATTACCTTTTTATACCCATTGATTTCCGTAGGGCGCTCTGTGCTGAAGACAGAGAGAAATTAAGTTCCTTAAAGAATAAGCAGAGGTAGACCTTTCTGCTGAGCCTGTGCTGCTCGATTGTCCCGTTTGGTTGTATGTATCATTAGGCATCATTAGAGGAAAAAAGTATGACCGCTAAAATTTTCAAGAGATACTATTTCATTCAACTCTAGACTTTTTGGCTAATGGCTAAAATGGGCTGCAGGAGTAAATTGACCTATGGCAGATCTGTAAAATGAGAAGACTAGGTGGAAGGTTGAAAGCCCGTATTCAAACCTAGACCTTCATTTTCTTTGCTTTTTCCAGAGGTGCCCCAAAATGGTATGTTTTGTTTTAGATGTAATGTTATCTCATACTAACATAGCAAAATTCTGAAAACTCATTTTTAGGATTACTCAAAATAAATAAAAAAGCGTTATTTTGGGTGCTTAAGAAAAAGATTAATTGTGCTTGTCCTTGATATCTGCCTTTTAAGCATCAGTCACATATGGTTTGTTAATTCTGAGTGATGGATAAGTGGGAGCAAGACAGCTAATAAAGAGGCAGGTTTTAAAAGAGGATGCACAATAGCATCTCCAGTTTTATATAGAGTTATTAGAAGAAAAATGTAGAAACAAAACTTTACATCCATCAGAATGAAAGTTCACACTGAATCATAGAATATTTTCTAAATTTTTAGGTTCTTGTATTCTATATGTCTATTTTTATAATCTAGAAAGTCAGCAAATTGTAACAGAGATGTAACTTTTAACAAATCAGATCTATTTACCAAGGCTTACATTAATTGATTTTGTACATTCCCAGAAAATATGTAGCACTAGCTGTAAAGAGATTCTTTAATTCTTGTTCTTCAATGTAAATGGCATATCAGGTTCTCTCTTGCATATGTATATTGTTGCTCTGAGTACAAACCATATGCAGATGCTAGGTCATTTACTGATGATTAGCCACGACTTTTTTTTTTTCCCCACCATCCAATCTAAGGTTATATCCAGTTATGTTTCCAGAACATCTCGTTTTCTATTCAATTTCTTCTTGATATGATGCTTTCCTTGGAAACTCTACAGCGGAGCAAGCAGGTTAAGTCTTGGTAATTTCACGTGCAGAAATTTGAATATGTTTTTCAGTATGTCATGCCAGTGGTCAAGAAGTCTTCCAGGAGGCTGCTGGAGCACAGGGGCTTGCAGTAGGCACCACCCCATTGCTGCATGGCCTTTTTTGGATGAAAAAATGTGAATTTAAAGATATGGTATTGAATAACCGGTACACTGCAGCATGGGTGTCACCTTCTAGTTACTCTGACGTGTTTGGGAAGAGCAGGATACTGCAGTTTCAGTAATCTCCATATCTCTGCTGGCAGTCAAATTCATTTTTAATCTTCTGTGGTGAAATATTTGCACCAGGTGATAAAGGAAAAAGCAAATCCTGTAAACCATTTGTTAGCAAACAGAAAGGTGTCGGCTAGAATCATAAATTATTTCATCCATCAACAGACAAACCTGCAAAAAGGCTAAACCAAAGTACTTACAGATATTTTCTGATGTCTTTTAAATTTTTCTGGCTGGAAAAGTCTAATCCTACAAGGTTGCTGCCTAGCTCAAGTGATAAGAAATAGATGAAAGATCAGTAAATGTCAAAAAGAGCAGAAATATTGATAGTTATGTTATCTTATACATGGCTCCTTTCACCCATATACATTTTTTAAAAATAAGCAAGTGGAGGGCTGCCAGTTCACTGATGAGCCATCCTTCCTAGCTCCAGGCTGAAGAAGAAAAGGTTACACCTGTCAACTGGAAGACGTATTCCACAGAGAATGGTTTTCAAACCAGTCACATGTCACTTCAAGACATGTAATTGTGCAAAAAACTCTAAACTCTGAAAATTAAAACAAAAAAACCCGAAAGACATTAAGAGTAGATGCAAGTCCTTTAAAACATTTAATTATTCTATATAAATTTTTCATGTGTCTGGAGAAGAATGTCAATTTCAGCGAGTGATAAAGGTTTCTACCAGTGGCATGGAGATTATGCCCTGTACTCAAAGAAAGCAAAGATATACGTTGAAAGTATTCAAGTCTCATCGAACACTGAATATCAGGAATCAGTAAATTAATCTTATTATTCTGTATTCACTGAGTATAGAGGTTTGTTATAAATATGACCCTCTGATTTTCTGTGATATAGTCAGCTTCAGGAATTGATTGATTTGGAAAGTAAACCATTGGAAACCTTAATGTTGACAGAATAAACAAAGCATTGGCACATACGGGAGGTTTAAGTCGAAGACTTTCCATCTCTCTGCTTGAGTTTTTGAAAACAGCTAGGCACTTTTAGTAAACGGAAGGCAATGATAGCAAAGACCTTAGTTTAGCCTAAGTAGCAATAGGCATTGGTAGGAAACTTTGGACAAGAAATTCTTTGGCAGCTCATCACAAAATACCAAGCCACTTAATATCCTTGTTTCATTATTTGCTTGCTGTGGTCTCGCGTGTGTTAAGCTCGATAGCTAAACTTTCTAGCCAGTTCCCTAAGCATATTAGCAGCTAACATTTCACTAATCTTTTGAAGCATAAAATTACTTCTGTTAGATACTTAGCTGTCTTCTGCATTTCTTTCTTTTCCTAATCTTCATTCTGCCTCCATTTGACACGGATGTGCATTCAAGTTAATTAATGAAACTTACTTTGCCTCAGCATGAAAAGGAGGGCAAAAAGTAAGGGCAGAAAGGTTAAAACAGCACCACACTTTATCTGGTTCTTATGCTTAGAGACACGTAGTTTTAAAGAGCTGCAGGAAGGGTGACTGGGTTTCCTGGATCACGACGACTTCCGTATTTCCTGTAGGAGCTTCTCTTTATGCATCTGAGATACAGAGCATCAGTCAGGGAAAGGGACTGTAGGCCTCAGGTTTGCCTGCCCATACATTGCCACAACCTCCAATACCCAGCCAAAAGGATGCTGCAAGAAGCAAATTTTTGTTCACTAGTAGGGATGTAGGGGATTTTGTTTGTTTGTTTGTTTGTTTCAAAAGAACTGAGAGTCCATAACATGTATCAGAACTCTCTTGTTCTAGTCTTTGTGTTTGTATGTTTACTGTTTGGAGTATCTACGTTCTGAATAGACAAGGCAAAAATCTGTGGAGAGCGGAAGGGATAGAAAGTAAAATAAAACACCAATAACTTGTGATGTGTTTAGATTAGTTGAATTGCCTGGGTCACACAGGAAATGTGCAGTCGAGCCAGAAAGTGAACCCAAATTTCCTTTTACCCAATTAAGTGCCTCAAATGCTTTTTTCTAGCTTTATTCTTTCATTATTGTCCAGTGAACATTTGGTATAAACTGTTTCAATAATCCTCAAAAAAATCACTCAAAGAATATTTGCTATATTAAAAGATCTTATGGATAAATGATTGTTATCTTTTGTTTGAGTACCATCATTGGACATTGCAGTGGCTGTCAATACATCAAATTAATTTCCATAGTATCACCAGCAGATCTTTTCTAGGGACATATCTAAGGTGAAGAGCAACTTCTTCTATATAGACAGACCCAATCTAGTTTTAACCTCAGCAGCTCAGCTACTGCTATTGATACAACTGCAATGGCCCCTTGAACTGTGGCTTTGGATGGGACCAGGCAAACTGCAATATGCCTATTTGCAGCCTGGCGGATATCGTCCAGTATCTGTCCTGTGCTCAGCTCTTTCTAGTAGAAGAGAGAGAGTTTTAGTGAGTACTTGTTTCATGAAAGATATAT